TTTTGGCTGCTTGGGGCGGCCAAAACCCTGGAGCCGGCCCTGCTTGAGTGGCCCCCATTACCATAGTATCTGAGCAGCTCTCAGCACCCCTAGGAGGTAGGGAAGCACTATTCTCCCCATTTTACAGCTGAGGCACAGGGAGACCAAGGTCACACATGAAGTCTGTGGCTGAGTACGGAATTGAACCCAAATCTCCCAAGTCCTATGCTACCCCCCTAACCCTTGAACCGTCTTTCTCTACTTGCGTCTTCATGGAAAAGTTACTTCAGAACTTCAGGGAATTACCATCTCTCAAACATAAGAGTGTCAGAGTTCCTGACATTGTAGGAACATGTTTTCACTTCCTTTTGGAAACTATGTTGTCCTGTTTTTCTAATCCGATACAACCGGGGTTCTTTTTTGTTTTCCCCCTTGCAGTATTTCTCCATGCTCCTCTTGATCTTCCTTATTGAGCTGGTTGCTGGAGTTCTTGCCTATGTTTACTATCAAAGGGTAAGTTGGAAGGTTTGTTTTATTTATATTTTTAATGTTACAGCAATAATTATCTGTCGGCAAGGTTGGGTTAAGAAAGTCACTTCTTATAAGAGCTCAATAGAAATTAATTGAAAATATTGGTGTTTGTAAAAGTTATCCAAAGTATTTTCTTAAATCCATAGGGTCAAATACCGTTGCACAAAGCAAGGCCACATAATAAGGGTCTAAACCACAGGAAAACGTTGCTGGGCTGAGGAACACAAATCCCAGTCCCATCCAGCTTAGCTCTGCCTCTCCCATAGGATATGGGAGAAGAGCAGCAGATACAACCCCTGGTTCTTCCTTTCCCCAAGTTCTGGGGCAAGCCAACTTGTACACCTTGATTGGCCATTCCATCTTCCCTCCGTATGACCCTGTGCAGACAGGCGTTGCAGAGCTCAGCACAAAGGGGTATGTGGCAGCCCTTCAGATGTTGCTGCTGCCTGACTCCTCTGGGCATTTCTGCTGGGTTTGAGCCTTCATCTGAGCACAAAAGGGGGAACCCCTTGAGAATGCAGACTGTAACAGTGCAAAGGAGTGTGCTTGAGGCTGGGTAAGTTGTTGTTCCTACACATTCATAGCATAAATTAGAAAATAAGACGGTTCAGAACATTGGTCCATCTAGTCCAGTGTCCTGACAATGACAGTCTGAGTCCCACCAACACACATAAAATATTACTGCTGGAGAGAAAACCTCTCATCTCTTCCAACACGAAGGAAAGCTCTCTCCTCCCCTAGAAGCCCCGTACCAACTGGAGAGGGATGCCCCTTACCACAGTTTCAGCAATCCAGTTGAGCTCCCCATCTCCACTGCTAGCCCCAGGGACCTGCATTTGAAACCAAACAAACCTAGATCAAAGGCTGGGTTCAAGCTCCTCTGTCCCTCTCCCCATGGGGTAGTTTCTCCAGCTCTCTGAACTGCATGGCCCCTAGCAGACAGTTGAGAAACGTACATCCCCAAGAACTGGTAGTGGTGAAACATGGGAGGCATTTCCATGGTCTCATCACTTCTGCAAATCCACAGCGACCCAACCCCCAGTGTAGACCGTGCTATGGCGACCGGAGAAGCTCTCAACTGTTCGGCATAGGTAGCATCTTCACTAAGTGCTGCAGCGCTATAAGTGTAGACAAGCCCTCAGAAAGTTAAAGATTCTAATCTCATTTATCCTGAAATATCTCTGAAGCCAACAGCCTTACCCTGGTTTAGAACAGAGGCAACGTTAGACTGGGGCCCGTATTGTGTGGGACCAGTTCCCAAGCCCTGATCTTCTGTTCTCCCTCCCACTAGCTGGTATATTTGATCAGTAAAAAAAGCATATTTGTATGAATGGGAATTGGGTTTAATTTTGTAGAATTATACAACGTTGCACTTGCTGACTTTAATTGTGGATGCCTTTCCAAAAAACACCCTTCGCTCACCAGAAATACTCCCACATAACCCACAAAGGGAATATTATATTTTGGCCAGTGTTGCACATGTTATACAACAGTGAAGCTGTTCTTTTTCTGCTTTGAAAGATTCTTTTGGGTTCTTTTGCTGTTCCATCCTGCAGAATCCCTCCATGCACGCTATGTATTTTTTCTCTCTTGGAAATCTCTGGCCTGATTCTGATCTCACACCAGTGCAACTTCACTGACATCAAAGGAGTTACCTCTTATTTTAAACCAGCATTACTGAGATCAGAATCAGGCTCATTGTCTTTTCTGGAACACTTTATTCACATTTTAAATCCCTGTAGCCTAATCATAGATAAGGAACCAGCTCACACTGACTTTAAGTAAATAGTAATCAAAGGCCTGTAGTACGAACCCAGAGTTCCATCAATCAGATTAATACTCTATGAAGTTATTACCAGCTCATAATGTTGCTCATCCCTCATGCCTTTAATTTATTTTAATAATTTAGATTGCAGTTAATGATCTGGTCTTAATATCAATTATATTTTTCATTTCCTGTTTATTCTATTATCATTTTACATAGCACTGTAATTTAACACTGCATTTTGCAAATCTAGATTATTATGTGATCTCTCCTCTGAAGAGCTTATGCAACCTAACGAAACAAGCAAACACAAGATAAGATACAGAACAATAGTTCAGGGAACAGAAGGTTTGGTGTCTGACCTTTCTTGTTTTTTGTTTTGTTTTCTATCTATGGACACTTAGGATGTAGGGCCATCTGGGCCTTTCAATGTCCCGTTTGTTTAGGGTGTATATCACTTTAAGCACATTTTAAAAGAAGATTTCACCAATTTAGGATTTTAATATATAAATATATCAGGCCTGATTCCAACTTCTTGCCAGTTTTACACCAGTGTAACTCCACTGACACTGGGACCTTATTCCTGATTTCACTGAAATAAGAAAGATCTGAATCATGCCTTGGAGGGACCTAAAACCTAAAGCAAAAATGCACATTTCCTTCTAGAATGTATTCATTATGACTTTTCTCATTGGTGTACAGCTAAGTGAGGAGCTGAAACAGCACCTGACCCAGACCCTGACTGAGAATTATGCTCTTCCTGGGAAAACACACATCACCCATTCCATCGATCGCCTGCAGCAAGACGTAAGGAAACCTTCTGTTGCTCACACTGCTGCTGCCTAGCTGTTTGTCCCAGCTCATGTTTCATTTAATATTACTAGTTGCTGGAAATCTCATGCGATGACCTGAGCTTGCCTAATTTCCAGACCAAAGAAGTCCAGGCAAACCTCTGAAAGAAGCTTATCTGAAAGTCTGAGTCTTCAGATAGCTACCCTTACTGTTCTCAAAGTCGAGATGCAAAAACAGAGGCGACTCCAAATCAGCGATTACTTCTGTAAATTTGACTGCATTGGCTTTTGCAACAATTACGGTCACTGGGCCTGATTCTGATCTCATTTACACTGGTATAAATCAGGAGTAACTGTTGAAGCCATTGGAGTTTAACTATTGTAAAACCAGTGTGAGATCAGAATCGGGCCCCATGATTGAGTGTGTGCCCCCAGAGGATGATAGCTGACATAGCCGGAGACGAAACTGAGTTGCTAACACATCCATCCCCTTGACGTATCTACAAACTGAAAGGGATGTATGTTTTCATTGATAAGTGGCTCAACGTTACTTTGTTTTCTTCTCATGAGGATAATGTCATGCCCTCCACTGAATGTCAGCATTTCCTTTCCATTGCAGTTCAAATGCTGTGGCAGCAATAGCTCCGCTGATTGGCAGCGCAGTGTCTATATCCTGTCTGTAGAGTCCAGTGGCCGAGTGGTACCAGATAGCTGCTGTAAAACAGTCACCTTCAAATGTGGGAAGAGGGATCATCCATCTAACATTTACAAGGTGGAGGTAAAATGCCATTTTGACAGTCTGGGTTTTTTCCTACTGTTTGTTGAACAAATCATAAATGACGTTATCTTACAGAAAAATGAAGGGATGGAAACTGATGGAAGTATCAGTAATAATTGCACTTTTATGATGACTTGTGTGGTGGTCTGTGATCACTCAGTCTTAAGGTGCCTGCAAGAGTTCTGCTCTATTTTGTGTCCTGTTCCAACGGCCTGTGCATAACCATAAGAGCTTCCCAGTGCCCAGCTCAGACTCTGTTGAACCCAGCCCTTAAAGGCACAGTCCTCAATGGTACAGTTTTCCCTTCCAAACCAAAACTTAATAACTAGAACACTTAAAAACCAAGAGTAACACAACACACAAATACTTTTTAACCAACCTAATAACTAAACTGCTAAGAATGCTCAGTTAGACTTTGAGGTGCTCGGCACAGTCACTTGAACCTACACGGCTCCCCTATAACATCAGCACTACTGCGGTCAGAAGGTGGCAGGTTGCTCCAAGTCCTGGGACTCCGTGGTCTCAACCTGCTGTGGTTGTTGCCTGTCTGAGACCCTCTCGATTCAAATGTCAGGCTCTGTGCCTCTTATCTCCCTCCCTTCTGGGATTTGAAGAAGACGTCACTTATTCCTCTGTAGGATGTGTCCGAATGGGCTGATGACCTCATACAACCATGGGGCTACATCTCAAGACACCCATTGCAGTTTGCGATTCTTGTTTCCATCATAGATATTTACAGCATCATTTTCATGAAGTGGCAGCTCCGGGTACCGCAAATCATATTGGGTTTTTTTGTTTTGCCTTATTTATCTCTTTATAAATCTGCAAGTCCCCAGTGACTCGGACATCAGTTTCTAACAGTGCAGACATTCTTGTTTTAGCTGGACAGTTGGTGCCATTCTGTAATTTAACAATGCTTAATTTGGATCAAAGTCTGACTCTTCATCGTTTTTCAGTAAGCACTTCATTATTGTGACACCATTTTTCACCAACTCATTAGATGGGGGTTAATGGGAACTAATAGTTACATGTCTAAATCTGTACTTCACTGCTTAAACTCATGCCCACTAAACTGCGGCCCTTTATCAGGTGTACCATGTCTAGCATAAATGTGCATGTCAGATCTAATCACTCATTTAGCTGTAGTATTTTCTAGTAAAGCCATCTCAGGGAAGTGAGAATAATAGTCTAGGACAAGTACATAACTTTTCTGCAGCCGACATAAACAAGTCTATGCCTATTTAGCTCCACTGAACTTCTGTCAAATGCTGTAGGGAGTGTGTCTGCAACCAGCAAATCTCTCCCATTCAATTTGCAAATACTACCTTTATAGCTGAAAAAACAATCTCTATTCTCTGGGGGCGGGGGACACGGTGTTTGCCAGGCCCCTCTTGGCAATGGCAATAAGTGATTTATGGTCAGTTTTAGCTAACATCAGTCTCCTATAAATAAAGCCATGAAACTTTTTACAGCCATGGACTAAGGCCTAAGCCTCTATTTGGGCATCTTGACCCACTGTTTTTGGTAGTGCCCGTGATGCTTATGCCACTTGTCTTCAGTTTTGATCTTACTGTTGTAAGATAACCACACCAATACCCTCCTTGGAGGTGTCTGTGGACAGCTTACTTTTACGCTTACTCTCCTAGTACCTCAGGACTGGGGCTTCTTTAATTAATGCCTTCAGTTTCTCAAATTCTTTATTAAGAGTTGCATCCCATGTACAGTTCCTCTCCTAGGTTGCTGTCTTGCACAACTAGATTAGGCATATATTTCTCTACATAGTTCACCATTCCAAGGAATCTTTGTAGCCTTCCTTTTCTGCTGGGGCAGGTGTGTAGGTGATGGCCTCTACCTTTACACCTTGCTGTGTTAACTTCCCTCCCAGGTATGTTATATATGTTACATGACATTTATATTTCTTTCTTGAGTGCTTGCTCATATCAATTCCATTGTAGGTGTGCGCGTGCCCACCTGTGCGGTAGTCAGAGACTTTTGCCTTAGCGGTATCCGTAGGGAAGGCCATGGCACCCCCTGGAGTGCCTCGCTCATGGCGCAGTATATCAGGCGCCGCCGTCCCTGCACCCTCTCAGTTCCTTCTTACCGCCCATGGTGGTTAGTCGGAGCGCCTCTCTCCCTTGCTTCGCAAGGGGTTAGTGGTTGTTCTCCCCTCGTCAATCCAAATGGCGGGCCTCTCGCAGGAGATGCAGACTTCAATCCAAGACCTGGGGGTTTGTCTCTTCTCTGAGCAGAGAGACGCCAGGCTGCATGGGGTGAAGGACACGAAGGCCACCCTTCATTCGCTGGGCATACATACGCCGCAGCCTGCTCGGAAGCCCTTCTGGCCGCCCGCACCACCAAGACCTTGCCAGCCCCACCAACATTCTGTAAGAAGAAGTGACAGTAGCTTCAGTCAGCATCACCCCTATTCTTCCCGCTCACCTGCACAGCCTGCGCCCTCTAAACACCCTGGGGGACCAGAAGCTTGCGCCCCAGTCAGTTCCCCGGATCCTTCCTGCCCCTTTTTGGATCACCTTCGATCTTTCCACTCGGCCTGGTCAAGGGTAACTTCAGACAGCTGGGTCCCTGATATAGTATCCCGGGGCTTTACCCTACAGTTCATGGCTGCCCCTCCCTCCCACCCAACCTCTTCCCCGTCCCTCTTCAGGGACCCCTCTCATGAGCAAATCCTCATTCAGGAGGTCGAAAAGCTCCTGTGCCTGGGGGCGGTGGAGGAGGTTCCTTGGGACATGCAAGGAAGAGGTTTCTACTTCTGTTATTTCCTAATCCCGAAGGCAAAAGGGGGTCTCAGACCCATTCTGGACCTGCGTCGTCTCAACAAGTCTCTCACGAAGTTTAGGCTCCGCATGGTTTCCCTGGCCTCCATCATTCCTTCCCTGGATCCAGGAGACTGGTACGCCGCTTTCGACTTGAAGGATGCATATTTCCATGTTTCCATATTCCCTGGACACAGGCATTGCCGTCCTCCCACTATAAAACGGAGGAATTTCCAGTTCACGGTGCTCCCTTTTGGCCTATCATCAGCCCCAAGGGTGTTCACCAAGTGCATGGTGCCAGTAACGGCTTACCTCAGGCGACGTGGGGGCCACTGGTCCCGTATCTCAACAACTGGCTCATCAAAGTCAGGTCTCCGGAGTGGGTGCAAAGAAGCTTCAGTCTGGTTCGCACCACCTGTCTCAGCCTGGGCCTGTTGATAAACTTGGAGAAGTTCATGTTAACACCAGTGCAACTCATAGAGTTTATAGGGGCAGTCCTTGACTCCACGCAAGCTAAGGCCTTCCGTCCAGAGGCACAGTGTCAGGCCATGGCAGACTTAATCTCCCACACAAGGGCCCATCACGGCCCATATGTGCCTGTGACTGGGCCACATGGCTGCATGTACGTATGGTCAGCCATGCCCAGCTCCATATAAGGCCCCTGCAAACGTGGCTGGCTTTGGTTTACATTCTCAGCAGGCACCCCCTGGGCCGAATGGTTACGGTGCCGAGCCATGTCCTACAGTCTTCGGACTTGTGGCGGGACCCCGAGTTGATGCTGCAAGGGGTTCCCTTTGTGACCCCTTCCCCTTCACTCACCCTAGTCTCGGATGCGTCAGATCTAGGGTGGGGGGCCCACCTGGGTGAGCTCAACACCCAGAGGCATTGGTTGCAACACGACCTAGCCCTGCACATCAAGTCAGGGAACTCAGAGCGGTTCGCCTGGCTTGCCAGGCTTTCTTACCCCATGTGAAAGACAAGGTCATGCAGGTCCTGACTGACAATACGGCCGCAATGTATTACATCAACAGGCAAGGCGGTGCCATGTCCTCAGCCCTTTGTCAGGAAGCTCTCAGCCTCTGGGACTTCTTTGTACAGCACATCATCTTCCTGGTAGCGGCTCATCTGCCCGGAACTAGGAACGTCCTCGCAGATCACCTCAGCAGGTCCTTCTTGTCTCACCACACGTGGTCGCTCCATCCAGAAGTGGCCAGCCTAATCTTCCGCCAGTGGAGGACTCCCCAGGTGAACCTGTTTGCGTCTTGGCAGAACAGGAAGTACCACATGTTCTGCTCTCCCCTGGGCAGGGACCAGGGCTGCTTGTCAGATGCCTTCTTGATTCCGTGGTCGGGAGCGTTGATGTACGCCTTTCCGCCGGTGCCATTAATCCACAGGGTCCTGTTCCAGGTGAAGCAAGACAACGCGACGATCATCCTTGTTGCCCCAGCGTGGCCTTGGCGACTCTGGTTCAGCATGCGGCTGAGCCTGTCAGCAGCCAGCCCACTGCAGCTGCCTCTTCGACCAGGGCTGCTGTCCCAGAACCACGGCAGGCTGCTGCACCTGAACCTCACGGTGCTGCACTTGACAGCCTGGCTGCTGCGTGGCTGGATGGGGAGGAGCAGCAGTGCTCCTGGTGTCCAGCAGGTTCTGTTGGGCATCAGGAAACCCTCCACCAGGGCTACCTATGTGGTGAAGTGAAACGCTTCACATGTTGGGCCTCGGATCAGCTCATTCATGCAGAGGAGGCCTCGCTGTAGGAGCTGGATTTTATAATGTACTATGAGAATTAAGGTATGATTTGATTTCATCCTGTCAGCTACCCTTTTTGAATAGCAGAAAGGAATGACAGACCAGAACAATCCTTATGACTGATTATGGTCACCCTTTTGTTTTAGGATATGTCATAATGTCTGCTATGGTTTTCTATATGTATTACAAATTAGGCACTCTAGTTAAATATACATTTCTTTGTTTTAAGGTTTTAGTAAGTAAGAGACGGGATTCTCTATTGTGTCTATGTTAAGTAGATTAGAGGAACATTGAAGGCCTGGGTCTCAATGTAAATTGTCTTGGTTATTGATTGTAAAACTTAGCAAGGTTTAATTTGCAATGCCTTTTTGCTCGATATAAAATACTACTGTTGTATTCTCAATTTGTTTGTATGAATGAGGAATATATGCATCAGGAAAAGATAAGGTGTGAAGGCCATTGTTATAGCCAGAGTCA